GTTTGCGAAAGTGTTATCGGAAAGGATGCATGATATTCACCATGAAGTGCGTTCAAACTTGAAAACGTCTGCTGATTCGATGAAGTTATCTTATGATAAGAGATCTACTGAAATCAGCTTTGTACCAGGAGACAAGGTGTGGTTGTATAATCCCAGGAAGACCAAAAGGAAGTATCGTAAGTTGTCTTCTCCATGGGAAGGCCCATACGACATAGTGGATCGTCTCTCAGACGTGACTTTCCGAATAAAATGTGGTCGGCGAGGCAAGCCAAAGGTGGTGCATGGCAACAGGCTTTGTCATTATCACGGTCCAGGACATTTCAGTTGGGATGAAGTAAACAAAGGAACAAATGACGCTGCTGAAGATGTGTCACCTGGAAAGCCCACTGTCGAAGAAGAAACTCTACTCGGTTTTGAGAATGGAAACAGTGAGGCCCTTGATGAAGTTACTACCACTGATGTGACTGTTACCAATGATAGGACGCATCCTGATGAAGCAGATGAACCCCACATGAAGCAGAAACCAACGAGACGGAGACCAGTGCGGAAGAAGATACGTCCCGTAAAATTAAGAGACTTTGTCATCACCACCCACCGCAAACTCTTAGGCTACTCTTTTACCAACGAATAGTGGGATTCACCGTCACATAATAACGCCCCCACGGCTGAAACGGCGAGCATGTTTTGTGTGACAAGGATTCGAACCCACGACCCACAGATTGCGAGCGCCCTAACCACCTGGCCATCCTGAAGTATAAGGATATATATGTATTTATAACTATTCTTTTAACTGGTATTGATCCTATGCATTATTACTTGTTTTCTCATATAAGTTTTTGCAGTTTATTGTAATAATAATAATAATCTAAGTATATGTACTAACTAAACAATATTACATATATGAATGATTTGATTTTCTGGCATGTTACTTACTTTGTCACATGTAATCGACATGTTTGTATAATATCCTTGTAAACATGAGCATCGAGTGTGCTTACTGGCCTGACACTGAGATATATACGGACTGGAATTAGAAACACCGATTAATTATACTAGTGTAAATAATAATATTTTGTTTATTTTTGTCACGTAACCTAAATGATCCATGGCGTACATGTGATCGGCACGTTTGTTTAAATATATGAGTATTTGTTTCGTTGTTACCTTCATCCCTTTTGTATTAAGTTGTGTCTGTTGTAGACCTAAGCCGAAACGTAACACGTATAATATACAAGGGACCTCATGGTCCACCTAGGCTGTCCCATCCACTAATCTGAACTATAATGTAATAATAAAACACTCAAAGCCAGGATCATTGCAATATTTATCATCCCTTCCCTTAGACTCGCTTAAATTAGCTGCATTCACCACATCTAAAGGAAACCCAATCCAAAGGCCAACCACCCTGTGAGAAAAATAAAGCTGTCCTAGCTGAAGATGACTCCTACACTGCCAAAATTTATATTTGTCTCCCGTAGTCCCACCATTCTCATAATTAAATAGAAATAAAGATGATGCATCAAGATGATCAATTCCATTAAAATATTTAAATACCCCAATCAGATCCCCTCTTACTTAACTGGAGCTTTATAAGAAGTGTTTACTTGAAATTTCCACATTATTATTCTCCAGATTTAACTATTCGCGAGGCAAAGCGCTACTCTGGTTCCCTCATATAACGCCATCTATCAAATGTTTATATTTTCATAATACAGTATGGATGGCTACAAATGATCTATAAAATAAACTTCCCAGTTGTATTTTCAGTTTTTGAAATTCCTGTTTAAAACTAATGCTTGTAAAAGAATTTGTTTTATTATGGATATGGACCTGGAGTCTAGGATCAATCAGATTTTGGGAATCGCCGTAAGTTACATCAAAGTTAAAGATGAAACTGAAGCCTTGTGTTTGGTAAGTAACTTGCATTTGAAGCGTAAAATTTCTCGTGAGTCGTGTATTTAAATTATTAAGTCGGACTTGCGTAACTTTCATTAGCATAATTTGTAAATTTTTTCGCTATTCTTGCGTCTCAGTAAGATAACCGTTTTTAAGTAATGTCCCTACTCCACTCCCAACAAAAAGTCTAAAGACTTATATATATATATATATATATATA